GGAAGCCTGAAAAGGCAACGCTAGTCCCAGGTTTGATAGTGCGAGGTAGGATTTCTATCCCTTTTCCTTGTGAGCCTGTTTTCAAAAAGGATTTCGTCCTTGAAAATGTTTTAAAGAAAGGGATTGGTTTGTGAAAGAAAAACGTTTTGAAAACCATGGCTTGTTTAGTCATGGAACCTCATGGCTTATCCAGTCATGGGGCCCACGGCTTGAGTAGTTCGTGGGGTCGTATTAACGATTTCAAAATGTTAATGAATGATTTCTTAAGCAAAGAGATCTTGTGAACTGGGCCTAGATAGGATGCGGAGAGTGTATCCTCGGGGGCAGAACCTGAAACTCGGTCCGGGTAGGGTAGGCGAGTGGTTAGGTAAGTAATTTGTACTAATTACTTGCTGAAGCCTGTAAAATGGTTATTTACAGTTACTTTTCCTTTCCGAAAAAGGATGTGAGGTTCCGGCTGTTCTGTCGGGACTGAATGTCTTATTTTATTTACTTATTCATTTATGTATTCCCTCGCACATTTATTATAACATTTATTTCAAATTATATCCTACTAGGCCTTTCGCTCACGTTTTATTTTTTAAATGTATTAAACCCCTCCCAGGAGACTCTAGGAGCGGTGCAGGGTAGCGAAAGATTGCTACTGTTGGATCAAGAGAGGATTGAGTTCATCCTCTTGAATAAATGTAAGGAATTTGAGAATTCTGTAAACTTATTTAATATTTGGATTAACTAGACTATGGTTGATGTCTGTTGTAATGTTTATTTACATGAACATGTATGTACAATACTGTATGTCCTGTGGGGTGGAGCCCTGTGTGTCACCAAGCATACACCTCATGTTGGAAGTCCTTATGTCTGGGAATTGAGTAAATATGGACGGTGTATGAGGAAGATAGTATGCACCAGGGGAACCTCTTTGGGAGAGAGGGAAGATACTGCTCAACCACCTCAAGACACACAGGAACAGCCAGACTACAACTCTACACTGTTCCAAGATTCCCAGGACCCAAATAATGACTCATCCACAGATCTCAATCAGTGGCTTACACGTGACTATCTTTGAGAGATGAGTCCGTCCGTTTCATCCACAGAAACAGGCACCATCTCTCTCTGATGGTCCCATCACTTAGTCACGAGTCCTTGTCCTTTATCTTGTACAGTAATACTTTTTCTTAAGTCAAAAGTGTAACAACATCCTGTCTGCCACTCCACCGAAAGTGGCTCTATCTTTTCTTACTTTACTTAAAGTCGCGTGTCTTATTTTCCATTTGGTCAAAAGTGTATTAGTCTGTATCTTATCCTGTTAGAGTGACTAGTGTTTGGCCTCAGCTATATATTGCGAGGCACTCTCTTGGTTCAGGCAGAGTGACTCGAACCAAGAAAAACTTATTTTTTTAAAATTTTTTACTGTAATAAAACTCGAATTATAAACTCGAATCGATAAAATAAACGGATGTACTTATGTGATTTATGTAATTAGACATAAAAATGTACATGTTACCAGCCCGGAAAAAAAAAGTTGGGGCTAAACTTATCCTGCAGTCTTTCAGAGAAGTATAGAATGCATACTTATCCTTGTAAATAGAACTTTCGTTATTGAGCAAAAACAAAAAGATAGAACTTTCATTTATTTTTTCTGAGAAAAGTGAAGCTTCTTATCATTTCCATCTTAAAGATTCCTATATAATGTTCTGACACTTCCCAAAACAAAAGAAAAGGTGGAGAAAGGACTTTATACGATTGGATTCCAAATTGTTGCGGCGAATATGTGTGTACTTATAGAGGGATACAAAAATATTTAGAGGTACAATTAGTATGGAGCCCCACAACTAATTAAAACTTAATTTTATCAGTGAGTTCCCACTTTTTTTATTTATTTATTACGTTTGATAGTGAACGCTACTAGTACCCTTTGAATGTACTTGTTTTTATACAATATGGATATATATATATATATATAAAGTCGCACTTGACTTATTCAAAATTAGGGCCGATAATATGGGTTATGACACGATAACACGACTCGAAACGACAAGAATTTCACGGGTTAGGGTTGAGAAAAAGAGGTCCGGGTCAAAATTTGGTCGACCTGAAATTGACACGAAAAAACACGGGCCAATTTCGGGTTGGACCCGCCTAACCTGAACACGACACGAAACTTGTAAAAAATTTAAAAATACATATATTTTTCATTACATATTTTGATTTTATTATGAACTTATGATATCATGATAGTTGTACTCAAAATCTTATAGTATTATTTGCTTAATTTCAATGGACGTTATTGTATTTTAGTGTGTTATGAATTTTAAGTTATTTTTAATATGTAAAAAACTAAATAAAAGTATACAATTTTTGTGTCAATTTCGGGTTCACGGGTCAATTTCGTGTCACGGGTCATTTTCGTGTCATGTCGTGTCAACCCGTAAAGTGATCGTGTCGTGTTCGTGTTGCGGTTTTTAAAAAATTTCGTGTCACGGGTCGTGTTCGGGTTGACTGTAAATTTAGAAAAAAATGATCAAAACACAACACGAACACTACATGTGACACGAATTGCCACCCTTATTCAAAACAATAGTTATACAAAATGCTGAAAAAAAGAAAAAAGAAATAAAGACAAAAATACGAAAAAATAAGATATGGAAAAAAAGACAAAAAAAAATTAAGAATTTTTTTTTTTTTTTACAAAATGTTTCACAACTGAAGTTGAAATTTATAAGAATCATAGGTAAAAAATGTCTATATAGGGACACATTTGAGAATAAATTAATTTAGCATGGTAATTAGAAATAATATTTTAAATAATTGTAAAAAAAGTATTTGAAGTAGATATATTTAAAAATATATAAAAATCAGAGGTTAAAAGATGTAATAAAAAAAATAAGGGGGGAAAAATGCAAGAAAGAATAAAGATAATTGAGAAAAAGAAGAAAAGAAAAAGAAAAACTAAAAAAAGCTAAAAAAAAAAAGAAAAAATACGCGAGGAACGAAACGTGGGAGGCAAGAAAATGGCCCCCCGAAACTTATTCTCCCTTTTAGGGAGAGTATTTTTTTTTTATTATTTTTTTTGCTAAACGAGATAGTATTAAAAAGCGAGTATGGATATATAGTGTTGTTTCACAACGTCACAATTTAAATTTTTTTATGTAAAAGAAAAATTGTATTAAAAATATTATATTTAAATTTTTATGAGAGAAACTATTATAATAAAAAAACTTGGGTTGTAAAAAGATTAAGTTAATAGCCTCTGGCAATCTAATATCATAGTTCTCTTGAAATTTGAATGAATTTCCGATATGCCCAATGAGAAATAATTGCATCACAATACAAATCAAATGGAAACAAATGTTTCTAATGCAATAGCTTAGCAAGCTAGCTCCTAATTATATATACAAAAAGTGATTTACACAAGTACTATTCATGATGATTTCTATAGCTAGCCAGTCAAGATCATGAGCAATATTTCAAACAGGAAGTAAGATTGATGAAATCCTTTTCAGCGCAAGGAATGGTAATTGCACCCATTTGATGATCAAAACCAAACTCCTCAGCAGCCTTGAACAACAACTCTTGGAACAAAGGATGCTTCAAGTACGAGATTGGAACCACAAACCGCTTCTTCTCAGCCGGATCTTCGCTGACATACACCGCAAAATGTCCTTTTGGGACGACCTGATTATGGGCCGATGATAGGTGGTGGTAACGGCGGTGGCGGTGAATAATTTTCTTGGCTTGAAGAACCATCTCCGGAAGACGAATTCTCATTTTCAATTAATAATGCTTTCAAGTACTATCTGTACTAGCTTAGTGTATATGTTTCTAAAGAGCTTTCATGTATTTATATATGTACATATATATCATATATGTATATTGGGGCAAAAATTGGTTTTAGGAATCGTCTCCAATCGGCACATGCATATTTTCTTTAAAAATATGTATATTTCTTCTTAAAATATGTATATTTCCTCTTAAAACATGTATAATGGAGGAGACACCTATAATTTATCTAAACACCTATATACATGTTTTAAGAGGAAATATACATATTTTAAGAGGAAAATATACTTGTTTTTAAAAGAAATATATGTGTGCCACTCCAATCTGGTACCGGATTAGAAACTTTACCATTGGTTTTATTGTAGATTTGGTTGGATTGTGGTGTAATTGCACACCCAACTTATGTTTTTTTATTAATACAATGGGCATATATATGGTAAGATAATTAATAAAATTTTCCACTTTTCCTCGCACATATATTATAACTGCTGCTACATGTTCTTCATGACGTCCGTTACTTAATGACTAGTGTTTCTCCTTATCTAGATAGGTGACGCTAGGAATTCATTAAAAGGCAATTCATTAATGACTCAAATATATAATAAAGTATTAATGTTTAGATATTGGCTTCTTGTTGCTGATTCCTTCTAGCGCCCATACCTTCCCAAACCACCTGAATATTTTGTTGGTCTCTTCTCTCTCTTACTTGACACACACTGCACATGCAGTACCAATGTATGCATGTGAGTCTGATACTGATATATATTACATATATATATATATATTATAGATAAATATATTCGCGTACTTATAAAATATATATATCAGACGACTGATGGAGAAGATGACCATTATATAAGCGTCAGGAAGTCAAAACATGTGGCTTCTATATAAATCATTGTGAGTGCATATAATTGGCTTAAAAGCGGTGGCCGTCGTTTGCATGCATGGCTGCTCAGTTATAACACACACACATATATATATATATATATATATATATATATTCTCAATCCATTTACCTTTTGTAAACCTTTCAATTATTTTATAATAGTATACCCTTCTAATTTGAATTGATCAGTTATCATCATTTCATTTATTTATTAATTATGTACAATAATTATTTAATCTGTTCGATAATCAGTTTTCGGTTTGTTTCCTTTGCACATGAGTTGTCAAGTGAAAAACAAAAATAAAAGAAAAAAGAAAAGAAAAGAAAAGAAAAGAAAAGAAAAGGAAAGAAAAGAAAAGAAAAGATAGATTCCCACAACGAATACCAAACTAACTAATATTCTTTGCTGAGCTCTAAATTATGATACCTTCCTTTCTCATGTTTTTTATACGTACTGTTCAGTGTTTGAGTGTAGATGTATATATATAGTGCCTTTTCAACATGTACTTTGTCCTAGCTAGGCATCATATAGATTTTGTGGGTTAATTTAATGTGGTATCAGTATCACAACTTGCTCAAAGTATATATATATATATATATATATATATATATATACATGTGTGTGTGTGTGTGTATAGTACACAAATTATTAAGGATGATATCGCCCACGGTTTTTCACGTAGAGAACTAAATAATAACCTGTTCCGATTTTCCTTCCTCATACGCCTAAATTGCACCTATATATATGTGTGTCTTCACTCTCTCAACTGCCAGGGATGTTCTTATCATTTTAACATTGGGAAAAACAAAAAGAACATGGATGAAATTTGAGCCACTAGACTGCATGTGGGTTTCAAATATTAATATAAAAATATGAAACATGAAATCTATTTTCTTCTGTTAAATCTCAAAAGGTGGTTTGTGGGGACTGGTAAAGTCACACAGTTTGTACACATTGCATGTGGGCTATCATGATATACATTCATTCATATTTATATATATATATATATATTATACAATTCGTCTCAAAAAAACACTAAAAGCCGCAAACAGCCAGCCAATGGGCACATGTGAGGCTGCAAGGCGGAAAACAGAACCAATTAACAAGCTATTTTTAATTTCTAACTTTTCTATTCTCACTAGTCACACTACCAACTCTTCTTGCAGATGAAAATAGGTTTTTTTTTTTTTTTTTTTGAAAAAGAAAAAGAAAAAGAGAACAGCGACAAATATTAAAACTGCATTTCGGAGATTCTAGAGATCTCCACTCAAATGCACTTGAACCAGTTTACTAGCTAGCTTACAATATGGTCCTTGCAAGAGAGAAGAGCATGTAAATTATTGATGTGTTGGAATTTAAAAGGGTTCATCGAATCCATATATTAGATTTGGTTTTTGTCAATGTAACATGAGGCTCAATCATTTTGTATAAACCACATAGACACATTACATATACATATATATATATATATATATGTACCCCCAAAAATTTAAAAAAGATAAGGACCAATCACAAAAACACAGAGTATTACACTGACACAATAATGGCCTGCAACAGAAACAATGACGATGTACTCTCTAATCAGGATCCAATTTCAAGAGTTCTAGGTTTAACTGAACAGTGCATTGATTTTTTTAATTGTTGGCTGAACAAAAATTTAGGAAGGAAACGGCCGATTATAGCAGATCATTCTTAGATGTTAATGGGCCGTTCAGATTCGAGTTTTTAATTTGAGTTGAGATGTGATTTTATGTGAGAATTTTTTACTGTAGTAAAAAGGTTAGATGTGACTATTTGTGAGAGCTTTTCACTGTAACAAAACTCGAATTTTAAACTCGAATCAGCGAAATAAACGAGGCCTAAAAAGACTCCCTAAATACTAACATAAATATTTGTTAAAAATTCTATTATTAGACTATACTGACATAAATATTCGTTAAAAGTTCTATTATTAGACTCTACTCCTCAATAAAGAGCGTGTCATCTCAAACCCTTTAAATATGATAATGGTAAAAATACGTGAAGATGTGGTAATACTAGGTTCACATGCACATTTCTTATTTAAAACCATCAAAGAAAACCATCTCTATATCATTCAAACCTCTGATCACATAACCACCATCACTGCTAAGAGCCACTCTAGTCAGTGGTGATAACTACTATCTTATCTATAGCAAACCCCCCTGAAACTCAACAATTATTATTATAATTTAATAAATAGTTAACAATAATCAAGTAAGTGAGCAAGTATAGTTACATATTCACACATTAATTTTTATATATATTATACATTCAAAGATCTAAAGAAACATTCACCAAATTCTCCGAAAACGATGAGATCCATATAGCAACAACGGTAATAACCTACAGATTATCTTTCGTAATCTGCAGGTTATCACTTTATATCCGGCAGATTATTTTCCGTAGTCACATCAAAATTTTGTGTAGTAATATAAATAATAGAATTGAAAAATAATGGTTAAATTTAAATTTTTTTCTTTTTGGATATAGAATTTTGACTTTTATAATTAATTCAATTTTTATAAATAATGAAACTAAGTATTGTTTAGAAGAATATTTTCCAGCCTTCTCTTATCTGTCCCTTTTCAACACCAAAATTGTGACTTAAATATTTCATATTTATCTTCACTGATATCTAACTGTTATGGCTATTCAATTTTTGTTGTTGCAAATTCAAGAGAATGTAATCAGTTTTCTTGCCAGGAAAACTAGAGACCAAAATGTTGAGCTGTGATATAATGTTTTTAAATGCTGGAAACAGAATAAACTATACACTTTGCCACAAGTACTAGAAGTACAAATTGTAAAAGAATTTTCATTGACATTACAAAACATCACATTGGATGGTATTGACAATAACTCACATATATAATACTGAAGTGATCAAGAGACCGCTTTCTTTTCTGTGTCTCATCTTTTGCATTGCTTCACAAAGTTAAGAAGAACCCAAAAAAGGGCCTAATAGTTAACTTTAATAATGTCTGTCTCTAGCATGGCCAATATTTATGAACAACTTAGAGCTGAAGTTAGACTGCTGAAATAGTCCTCACTGCAAGGAATCGAGAGGCCTCCGGTAGGATGATCGAACCCGAATTCTTCCTCGGCTCGGTTCAACAAGTCTTGGAACAAAGGATGGTTCAAGTAAGATATTGGAATGACAAACCTCTTCTTCTCTGCTTCTCCAACATAAACAGCAAAGTGGCCTTTGGGAACATCATGAGTACTAGTTGCTGAGACTAGTGTTCCATATCTCGCTGAAAGAGTTCTCTGGAGTTTATGTTTGGCCTGAGTTATCCCCTTCAATCTGATTCCCATCTTAAGTTGTCAAAACAAAACAAAACAAAAAAAAAAGGGAAATTTTGAGAATCAAGTAAAAGGTTGGTCAAATGATGGAAAAAAAGTTGTAGTGATTGAGTAGTCTAGACTTTGGTATGTATATATACTGAGAGACTTAAAACCTTAAAAATTAGTGGGATTGTTACTTATTTGTGGGAGAGCTCTATGAAGAATGTTGAGAAACATATCAGGTGAAGGTCTTGCCGAAAATTCACATGGTTTTGCCTAATGAGTCAAGGAACATCTTTCCCCACCCCATTTTTGTGCCAAAAAAAAAAAAAAAAAAAAAAGTGTTTATGTTCAAAATGCTTCAACTAATAAAGCAATGCCCTTTTTTTTTGGTGCTAGGCATGTCCTTGACACTTAAGGGGCCGTATAACAAAATAGGGCATGATGATTCACTTACTCATTCATAGAAGCATTGAATTTGGACTTGGGCTATTTGAGTACTGACTTTTAATTTTTAGTGAGAACCAGCCAATTTGCCTTTTTAATTCCTGATTGTAGCCCCATCAATTATCCAAAACATGGTCTGTATTCACTAAATATATACTAGTTCCCTCTTTTAGCTACTTTTTAGCTAAATCATTTATTGGGTCCCTTCTTGACTAGTTCACATGGGCGTATAAAGCTAGTTGAACCAATACAGTCCTAAATGTTTCAAAACACTTGTTTCTATATATGAACAAGAATATTCCAATAGATCACAGCATTCTTATTTCTTTCATATTCTAAGTATTTATAAAAGTTCTTTTGACCAAATGGTGTTTGTTTGGGCTCCTTGAAGGATGATACCAGCTGGACAAATGTTTGATAGCTAGATTATTTTATTTTTTGCAATTTCAACCTTGAATGTTTGCAAATATATCATCTCTCTAACGCAGTTCACAATATCAATACTAGAATCTTTGAGGTCCGAAAGTATATCGTTTCCGTTTTTGCAGTTCCAACATTCAAGTTCACAAGTGTATCGTACTAACGGCATTGGTCTTGAGAATGCTTCTCCAGCCACGGTAGAAGAACCTAAAAAAGTCCTATAAGAAGAAAAAATTGCCCTTTGTGGTTCTGAATCATGCTTGAAGCATTCATTCTATATCCAATAATCTACTAATAAGTCTAAAGAAGTACATCTTTCATATCTCCAGACATGTTATTTTTTTCACCAATCCATTGTACTAAGATCAAGGTTCTGTCAAATCTTCTTCACCATAAAAATTTCTATTGGCCACATGCATAGCATAGGGATGAAGCACGTACCATAAAAATAAGCATGAAATCAGGAAGGTGTTGGGCAATTTGCTGATCAGGTTTCTGCCAAGTGTCGCTCATAAGGAAACAAATCAGAAGGTGAATGAAAAGAAACTCTGTCAATGTTGTAGGATGTTGGGTATTGGAATGATAACTATGATCAGATTCAGTTTTTTGTCTAGAAGATTAAAAGTTCACTATTCTTCAATGTGTGACATAAAAGTTATCCAATCTTAAAATGGCATGTTAAAGTTAACCGAACTTGAGCCAAAAACTCAAAAGTGTCTGTCTTTCTATAACTGTCTTTCATGTCATAGTAGTTAGTACTCTTGAGTTACTCTCAAGGTCTCATTCATAGTAGAAAGATAATATAACGTTAGGTTGAGTTTGTTATGTGCTTCCCATCAACCTATCAGGCTATCACCATTTAAATTGGGGCATAAACTCATAATTACCAACTTCTGACTTGTTCCTGTCACAATACATTGTATCACTTTGGCACATTCAAGTTGATAATGAAATCCAATAGTCTGATTTTTGTGTGTCTGCTTAATGAATGAATATGCATCCAAAGGTTTTATCCTCCGTGTAGTCTCAATCCATTAATGTTTAGTCCAAATGGTCTGTATGGTTTTTTATCAGCAGGAGAATTTGTACAATATTGTTTAGCATTCAAATAAGAGGCTCCATACTTTGTTTTATTCATGGTAGGCCATGGCAAATTGCTAAGACAAAGCACCATTAAGCATATCAAAGGTTTTTCATCATCAAATAGGTGACAAAACCATGTGGTTGATTCCTCACGACATATTCTCAAAAGAGAACAACATTTTTCATTGTCTCTGCACCAACCACTCCAATTCAAGATTAATGGCCAAAAGGGTTCTTGTCCTTGATGCCTATTTTATATCTGCCACAGATTTTGGATTAGTACAAGATTTTCAGCTTGATTTATATATCAACCGTGCGGGTTAAGTATTCAAAAAGACTCTACCGACTCATTATTTTTTGTTTTATATTTTTTCTATATAGATACATGTATATATACACGCATATATTAATATACTATATTGTAGATGTCCCTAGCATGTCTCTAATCCCCGGGGTCAGATGCTGCTTTGCTCAAACAGATGAGATTTTCTCTAACCCAATATCTCTTTAATGCCAAGTGGAGCTTTTTGCTGGTTCTGTTCACAATGATGAGTTGGAGGACAAGTCCACGTGGTTCCTTGGAAGTTCCTGTTCTACAAACAGTTAATAGGCCCAGTGGAAGGACTGTATATGTATACATATACATATACATACACACATATGATTAGAAATAGTTAATAAGCCTAGTTAATGTTCTTCTCACTGTCACTGTCACATCACACACAAAAATATGACTTGAGTTGAAGAGCCACAACAAAAGTCTTTCACACACTCGAAACTTCCATAGCCTTTTTCTTATACTTTAAGGGCCTGATTCGAGTTTTTAATTCGAGTTGAGATGTAATTTTATGTGAGAATTTTTTACTGTAGCAAAAAAATTAGATGTGATTATTTGTGAGAGCTTTTTACTGTAACAAAACTCGAATTCTAAACTCAAATAAGCGAAATGAATGGGGCCTAAATTCATCTCTTTTTATCCTTGTACATGTTCTAAGAGATATACACCTATAGAAGTTCCTCAAGAGGCCTTCTTTGATTAGTGAAAGTAAGGCCTTTAAGTGTCCTACCACAATGAAGAAGAATATCATTTAGACGTCTAATACTGAATTGCTAGAGAATTCTGTTTCAAAATAAAATTGAATGTCACCAAAGCATGAATTGAAAAACAATAGGATTCAAAGAAATATTACATCACAAACAGAACCACCTTGATAAAACTCCCATTAATTCTATGAAAACATAAATCATTGTGTAGTTTCAGAAACAAAGAAAGAAAATACAAAACATTGTCTACAAACAAACTTACACCTAAACTGCATAGCATAGTCTTTATTTTGTCAAAGAAAATCCTAAGCTATATATATACATATACATACATATATATATATATATATACAAGTGTGGTTTTAATGGTTACTCCAATATTTATTCATCGGGTATCATTATTTTAACCGTAAGATATTAATCCGACGGTTATAATAAATTATAGAATTGACTAAAAAAATTTATAACAATTAATAAAACTGAATTCTTATCACGTCACGTAATCATATTTTTATATTTAATGATAACCACCGATAGAACTATAACTATTGAAAACTGGTATATATATAACTATCTCAAACAACACAACACTAGTCCTGCCGTAAGAGATTAGGGTTAAGGTATGCAAGCCTAACGAAAATGACTTCAGCATCGAATTTTTTCCATCACCAACGGCATTTCTTCTAACTCAAACATGTGATTCATAGTAATTCTCGTCCGATGCCAATAATGTCAAATAGAAATCCATCTTAGAACACATTTTCCCATGTGCTCTAATCACCTTTTTAAGTTGGAGCTTCTTTTCCTGAAGCCCGAAAATTATACACACAATGGGATTAAATTAATCAAATACTCACTAAAAAGAAAAATAAAGAATTTCAGTATCCAGTGACGAACAATAATATTACCATGTCTTTATTGAAGTGATTGACTGCAAATTTTGCTGCTTTAAACACAAGCGGATTATCTGTAGACCAACCGTTAACTCCGCCGCATCTCATCCGATCAAGGTTTTTCTTATTCCAGTTATCACCATAAGAACGCTGATTTATCGTGAACAAATAAAAAATTAAGCCCCATTATTAATTGTCATACATATAATAAGATATAGCACAAGCACAACAAAAATCATTGCAAGAATTTTTTTTGTTAAAAAAAAAAAAAACAGAAAGCCCACCTCAGTAGCACTTGTTTGATGAAGATACTTGCAAGAATTTGCCACTCACTTTTCTGCAATTTCAGAAAACGACTAATTACTTTTTAACCTTATTTTATTTTCTTATTTCAAAGAGTATGTTAGGGTCCTGCTTAATAACGAATTGCTAGAGGTTGGTTAGTGGTTTCTTTGTGGTCTTTTAGTAGTATGAATAGGGGTTTTGCGGATGATCAGATTTGTGTAGAGTGTCTAACGCCGTGCACTGTCTTAGAGGTTGGTCTGGGGTCCTCAAAACCGCTTATTCTATCTTGTCATTTTCCATTTTTGTATCTTGTAATTCAGTTCAGATATCCGGATTCCTAAAGTCCTCTTCTGCATCAAGGCATTACGTTGCAATCATCCGTTTCATCAGTTTTTGGTGAATGTCGTTTAGATTACTGTAAAACATGTTGCCATAACTAAATTTAGGTATCAAACAGTGGCTTTGCCAACTAAAAATCTGTCCAAAGTAGAAACTGGAGAGTTGTGAAATGGACAGATAGTAACCGTGGATCAATCTTTATGTAACACAAACTTGCCATAACAGCTTTATTCAGAAACACAAAAGGGATTGGTTCAAAATTCAAATATACAATTCAAGGGTAAAAAATAACACCGAACACATGACCTCTTGACTTTCTGAAAACTGCTCGTGAAAGTGGCAATAAATGATAACATTATTACATTCTTGGCTCAAAGATGAGATTTTATAATTTATACCTTCTAGCATATTTTCCAAGAGGACAAGCATATAGCCACTATTATAATTCATCTTCAATTTAGATCTCCATTTGGGATTAAAATTGCCACTTGACCGTCCAATACAACAGCTTGAGGGTAAGCAGAGGAATGTGGTTACAGAAAAGGAATGATGTCAGCTCCTTTGGATTCCACTAGGCCATGTCTGATTCTTTACAGGTTTCAAAATAGCTTCGACCTCTAATAGGGTGTCTTCATCCTTCCCAGCATTCGCGAGTTCCACTGCAGCAGCAGCATTCTCCTCAACCTGATAACCGAAATGATATTCATTCCAACAAAGAATTTAATTTAACTAAAAAAAAAACTCTGCTTTGGAAATGACAAGTGAACAATGAGTGATGATGACAGATATTGCAGTAAAATCTAATGAAGAAAAGAGACCTGTCTAACAGAGTTCATCCCAACCAGAACTGATGAAATATCCTTATTTGACAAGCTGTATTGCATGGCTAACTTTGAAATATTCTTCCCTTTCTCTTTACAAAAGGCAGCAGCAGCTTGGCATGCGGACTATTGATATATAAAACAAACCCACAATAGTTAAGTTCTGCATCACAAGAATCACATTAAATGCAGGATTTATAAAGAGATTATTAACCCCCACCTTGAGCTCCGCCGAAGCTGGGTGCCATTCTGGAGGACCACTCTCAGTAAGAAGCCCCATCGCAAGTGGAGAAGCGCTGATAACACCAATGCCTTTGCTCTTCAAGTAAGGCATTAAATCGTCCAACGTTGAATCGTTAATACTGTAGTGGCAATATGAAAGAATCACATCCACTGCCCCAGGTGGCACCCGATCAAGAACATACGTAAAAATATCCAATGGAAGCCCGGTAATACCAATGAAGCGAATCTTCCCAGCTTCCTTCAGCTTCTGAAGAGCAGGAATCTGTCAAGTGTCCACAAAAGAAAACCACACTCGAGCTTAATTATTAATTACTAAAACGCAGGTCTATAGTGCATTAAAGACATGAAAAAGAAAGTGAATAGAAATATTTGAGCACCTGATCTAGGGAGCCGAACTCAATGTCGTGACATTGCAGTATGTCAACATAATCTAGCTGCAACCTTGCCAAGCTCTCATCAACGCTCTTAGTCACTCTCTCAGCACTAAAATCAAAGCCCTCAGCATATCGTCCACACTTTGTGGAAACAATATACTCATTTCTCGGAACACCAAGTGCTTTTAGCGCCTTCCCAAGTACCTTCTCTGACAAAGTCCCTCCATAGTACCTTAAAAGCCCCAAAACCATGACACCATCAAACATTACAAGAAAAGGCTAGGCTGTTACGCTAAGCAACCAATGGTGCACAAAAGCAGCCATATTTACAAGCTTTACATAATAACAAATTTGTTCAAGCACAAAAGCTACATTTTAGTTTCTCTTTTTCATTCCCCATCAACCAAAGGGAATCCTGGTCCCGAAAATTGAAATTTATGATCTTTACTAGTTCTGTCAAATAATTAAGCAACCGAATGGAACATGAAAACTAAAGATTGAAACTTGTAGATCACAAAAATACTAAATTAAACTAACAATTAGTTCATAAAACCCAAATATTTGATTGTTGCCAGCCAACAATTAAACCTAAAAAAAAAAAATCCTACAGTACGAGAGGAACCAAAAAATTCTCGCTAATCAAATTGCCCCATTTTGGTTCAATGAATATTTTGATTCAACCAAAAAAAAAAACGAAAAAAAAAAAACACTCGATAGCACATTCTGATCATATCTCAATCACATTTTTCCAAGTTTTGTTTTGCATTACGACTACGAGCAATCAAAACGCAGCTTTTAATGTGTATTGAGAGCCAAATCTCAGGGAAGGAATTGAGGAAGTACATACGGAGAAGTGTCGAAGAAGTTGATGCCGAGACGAAAGGCTTCGCGAACAGAGGCGTCGGCGTCGTCTTGGGAGACGGGGCCGAAGACATTGCCGAGAGGAGAGGCGCCGAATCCCACGCAGCTGAGCTTCAGTCCCGTGTTGCCCAGCGTACGGAGCTCCAGTTTCCCGTCCGACGAAGCCATTGAAACAGTGGAGTTTCTTCTGGGTTTGCGTTTAAAGATTGGTTGGTGGGGAAGGGAAAGGAAAGGAAAAAGAAAAATGGAAAGGAATTTTCCGAGAAAGTGCAACCGATAGGAACAAATGAGTGGGGTCGGCTAATTTCATTAGAAACTCAACAAATCCTTATGCGGGGGGTACTTCAGTCTTCTCAACGGTATTTTAGATCAACTTCCCCAAAATCTTTTCGGAGACGTTTAGTTCATAAATTAAAATTATGTGATTAGAATTATTTTTTATTTATGTGTATTTTTTATGAGAAGAAACACTATAATAAATCATAAACCATGATTCAAATTATCGTTTGAATTCTCCAACTAAACGCCTCTTTTATTTTTTGAAAGGTAATTTGTGTTGTTAGTACCTATACTTTCAATATAGTCACATTTTAATTTTAAAATATTAGTCACTGAATTTTCATTTTTTTTATAGTTTTGATTATTTTCATGCGTTTTTTAAAATTTGACAAAAATAATCACGCGTTCAGCGTAATAATTTAAATTTTTTAAAAAGAATTACGCTATATGTAAAATTTTGTATCTGTCACTATTAAAACTTGTTAAACTATAACATTTTGCAATTATTGTAAGTATTTATGTAAAAATTTCTGTTATTATGCTATAATGATGTAATTACACTATATTAAATTTCGGAAATCAGTTTCCAATTTAATTGTTAGGAACCAAAACTGTAACAAATTAAAAATTCAAAGACTATTACGTCAAATTAAAAATTTATGTAACAAAATGTAACTATATTCAAAATTAAGAGACTCAACACTACTCTTTAACATGTTTTACATAAGGTTTTTTTTCCCTTTTTTGTTTTGTTTTAGCAATGCGTACAAACAAAACAAGTTAGTTTAATTTGTTCCTCGCATTAACATGAAGTTTAAACAAATAACGTTGATATTAAGAATTTAGGATGAAAAAGTGAGTAGCACCTTATAGGAAGGTTCTCTTTTCTCATTTTTCATTTCTTTCTTTTGGCGGATTTGGAAGGTTCCTTTTCGACTTTCGTACAGATAAGTATTGTCCCTCTCAACAAGTTCCAAAATTAAACAATCTAAAAATCCTAAAGGTAAAACGCAAAAATATAAATAATATAAATACGGAGTCAAAAAAAATCCTAAAACCCAAAAATATCAATAATATAAATAAGTCCCTTAAAAAAATTTATTAGTGGAATATTTTGTTTTGATTGTTGAATTATTTTTCTAACAGTTAGATATGTTGCAGAATGAGTAATTATGTACGGCACAATGTAACTTTTTCAAATAGTTATGCACAAATCTAACAATAAAAAACTTAATTCAACAGTTAAAATAGGGCGTTCTACAAATATATTTTTCAAGGGTTCTCACTCTGGAGGGTCCTTATAAATAAACCAACAGTTACAGGAAAAAAAAAAAAAAAAAAAAAAATGAGGGGAAAACGAAAAAAAAAAAAAAAAAAAAATCAAAAAAAAAAAAAAAAAAAAAAAAGAGAAAAAGGACAGCAAAAAAGGGAGTGCAAAACAACAACTGCAATAAAATAGAAAACGCACTAATAGTTAATATACGAGAATAAATCGGAAAAAATATGATCCAAGAAGGCAACGAAAAGGTGAGGATGATAATGAAGAGTGAAGACGATATAAAAGAGAAATGCGAGAGAAAGCGACAACAAATTTGAAAACCATGTAAAACAGTCAAAGAAAAATGATAGTAAAAGTCAAACAACAGAAACGTAAAATAAAAGCAAACCGAAATCGACATTTACAACAAAAACAGATGACAAACGACAATAACGAAAGGACCCGACAAATAAACAAAAAAACGACCGAATAATCACCAAACGACGAAAAAGAAAATGAGTGAAGAACTTAAACGACAAATAAATTAACAAAACGATTCGTCGTTTTAAATTTCGAAAAGAAAAATACCTGGTTGCCTTCAACGACGTAATTAAACAAGAAGTTATCTTCTACTTCTGTCGTTTCACTTTCATTGAACGACAGAAGTATAAAAACAGCGACTGGTTTTTAATTTTTATGTAGCTTAATGCATATGACATTCCCTTTGTTTTTTTTTTTTTTACCTTTCGTAAAAAGGATTTGGTGATCTCCAATGACGTGTAATCAACGACAGGTTCCTTATAGAGAGTCATTTTATTGAAGATGCATGCTGTTCTTTTAAAATAATAATAATAATAAAAAATTGAATAAGATAACTTGTTCTTAATGGAATGACAGGAATGAATACAAAAACGACAACACATTTTTCATAGGCATCTTTTAGAAGCGATAATGACATCAAGATATCGGTTAATTCAAAAACGACAATTTATTATCCATACGTGTTGAGTAGAAATGGAGTAGAAATGAAATGTCGTTTAGAGCAACAAAATAAACTCTAAAGCAACATGTCGTTTCTGTTTCTCAAAAACGACGTGTAGTTTCCTTCAACGAGATGATGTAGTTACTCTAAGTCGTTTAGTTTTAAGTGGTTGTTAGTAAACGAAATGAAACGATATATCGTTTATCTGGGAAACGACAATCTTTTTCGCTCAATAAAAACGGCTGTGTAGTCCTACTAAAACAAAAACAATATAAACAAGAGATAATGTCGTTTACTAGTCTTTTCTTAACTCGACATGTCTTTTTTTTTTTTTTTTTTCAAAATCAAAATATTTGTCCTTCAAATGGCAGCTTTTAGCTACATGAGTGAATGTTTATATTATTGGAAACGCGTGAAAATGCAAAGCCTTTCTTGAATCTTTTATGTCGTCCTAGGGTTTTAGGTAAAGCTGGCACCAGACAACTCTATAAGAATTTCATTCCCTAGTCTCCTATGTCTTTCTAGTTTCTTTAGTCCATATAAAATGATAAAAGAAAATTAGGTTCAGTGCTTGACACCGGGATAATTTGTAATTTGTAAGACAACTTCGATAGATGTCAAACTAGGTATCATTTGGTCCCCTTTTGTTGGGTAAGTGGTAACCATTGATCAAGCTGGTTCTTCCAGAATATATATATATATACACACACGAATATGTATAGTATTATGTATATGCATGTAAACAACACTTTCATAATGGTATTTATCATCTTTATGATATCTGGAACTCAACCCACTGATCTACTTCAATTAAGTATTGTCAAATGATTCTATATGTTGTGTACACGTGTTTTTATAAAGAGGAACAACCGGATTTGGATCCATTTGCTTATTTGATCCGTGATCCAGCTCCATTTGAGTTTATTCTCTGAAAATCCTATGTTTATTTCTTTCATTGTCGTTTTACAGAATATCGAAAAGCATATGGATTCTGTGTTGAATGTGAATGCCTACAACATTTTTATATATCTTGTTTCTAGAGTCTAGACCAACCAACTTTGGACCTTT